AACCTTAATATTGTCTGTCAGAGGCCCAGCAGGTATGAAGGTGCTGTATGGAGCGTGCCAGGCTTGGTTTCAGTAATGTAGGAGTAACACAGCCTGTGCTGGGAATTAAGCAAATCAGTGGCCTGGAGTATTTTTTACTAGCTCAGGGCCAAGTGCATAGTTTCCACTGGTTTTATGCTGTTGATTGTCAGGGTAAGGTAGTTTCAAGTCTTAACATGGTATTCCTGCAAAAGGAAGAGGTCAGACATGTTGCTTCATTTGCTTTAAAGTCAGGATACATACTACTGAACAAGGCTGTTGTTTTATGCCATTATTCTTTCCTTGAATATCATCTTAAGTTCTGTGAAAACCTGAAGTCTCAGGGCTGAGAATAAATTAAGTATAACTTTAATAGCTTCTTTAAATACCTTTAAGGCCCTCCTGCAGTTCTTGCTTTCATGGGCTTTTCTTTTTTTTATCTGTAGCTTATTTTTACATGGTGAGGTTTAAACAAGATCTAGCAAATGCAAGAGTTTGAAGACAAGAATAGTTAGCTGACAACCAGGAGCTGTTGGTCTAATTGAGCAACCCCTCTCTATTAAGAGCGTGCTGAGGAATATCTGATTTTTCGTGTCCCAAAACATCCCTTTGTGGAGCATCTATGAGAATTAGTCCAGGTTACTTCATTAAGTCAATGTAAGGGACAAATCTTTCAGGCTTTGTTTGAATTGGAGTGCACTGCTGTGGAAAAAGGAGATGGCAAGGAAATGTGAAAGAGTAGCAATGTGCTGAATTCACTTTCACATACACTGGTTTTAGTTTATTCATAGAATCATAGAATAGTTAGGGTTGGAAAGGACCTTAAGATCATCTAGTTCCAACCCCCCTGCCAAGGGCAGGGACACCTCACGCTAAACCGTATCAATCAAGTTCTCGTCCAACCTGGTCTTGAACACTGCCAGGGATGGAGCATTCACAACCTCCCTGGGCAACCCATTCCAGTGCCTCACCACCCTAACAGTAAAGAATTTCCTTCTTATATCCAATCTAAACTTCCCCTGTTTAAGTTTTAACCCGTTACCCCTTGTCCTGTCACTACAGTCCCTAATGAAGAGTCCCTCCCCAGCATCCTTACAGGCCCCCTTCAGATACTGGAAGGCTGCTATGAGGTCTCCACACAGCCTTCTCTTCTCCAGGCTGAACAGCCCCAACTTCCTCAGCCTGTCTTCATACAGGAGGTGCTCCAGTCCCCTGATCATCCTCGTGGCCCTCCTCTGGACTTGTTCCAACAGTTCCATGTCCTTTTTTTTTGCTGAGGACACCAGAACTGCACACAATACTCCAGGTGAGGTCTCACAAGAGCAGAGCAGAGGGGCAGGATCACCTCCTTCAACCTGCTGGCTCTGCTCCTTTTGATGCAGCCCAGGATACAGTTGGCTTTCTGGGCTGCGAGTGCACATTGAAACCAGCTCATGTTCATTCTCTCATCAACCGACACCCCCAAGTCCTTCTCTGCAGGGCTGCTCTGAATCTCTTCTCTGCCCACCCTGTAGCTGTGCCTGGGATTGCTCCGACCCAGGTGTAGGACCTTGCACTTGGCATGGTTAAACTTCATGAGGTTGGCATCAGCCCACCTCACAAGCGTGTCAAGGTCTCTCTCTCTGGATGGCATTCCTTCCCTCCAGCATATCAACTGAACCGCACAGCTTGGTGTCATCGGCAAACTTGCTGAGGGCGCACTCGATCCCAGCATCCATGTCACCGACAAAGATGTTAAACAAGACCGGTCCCAACACCGATCCCTGAGGGACACCGCTCGTTACTGGTCTCCAGCTGGACATTGAGCCATTGACCACAACTCTTTGGTTGTGCAGCCATCCAGCCAGTTCTTTATCCATCGAGTGGTCCATCCATCAAATTGATGTCGCTCCAATTTAGAGACAAGGATGTCATGTGGGACAGTGTCGAACACTTTGCACAAGTCCAGGTAGATGACATCAACTGCTCTACCCCTGTCCATCAGTTCTGTAGCCCCATCACAGAAGGCCACCAAATTGGTCAGGCAGGATTTACCCTTAGTGAAGCCATGCTGGCTGTCACCAAGCACCTTGTTGTTTTTCATGTGCCTTAGCATGCCATCCAGGAGAATCTGCTCCAAGATTTTGCCAGGCACAGAGGTGAGACTGACTGGTCTGTAGTTCTCCGTGTCATCCATGTTCCCCTTCTTGAAAATGGGGGTTATATTTCCCTTTTTCCAGTCGTCGGGAACTCCACCTGACTGCCATGATTTCTCAAATATGATGGCCAGCGGCTTAGCAACTTCATTCGCCAGCTCCTTCAAGACCCGCGGATGGATCTCATCAGGTCCCATGGACTTGTGCACATTCAGATTTTTAAGATGGTCTTGAACCAGATCCTCTCGTACAGTGGGCCCAGGGTCTTCATTCTCACAGTCCCTGCATCTGCCTTCCAAGACTTGGGTGGTTTGGTCAGAGCCTTTGCCAGTGAAGACCGAGGCAAAGAAGTCATTCAGAACCTCAGCCTTCTCCAAATCCTGTGTAACCAGTTCTCCCGAGAGCTTCCTGAGGGGGCCTGCATTCTCCCTAGTCTGTCTTTTATTTGCTATGTACCTGTAGAATCCCTTCCTGTTATCCTTAATACCTCTAGCCAAGTTTAATTCTAACTGGGCCTTAGCTTTCCTAACCTGGTCCCTATCTTCCCGGACAACATCCCTGTACTCTTCCCATGCCACCTGTCCTTGCTTCCCCTTATTATAAGCCTCTTTTTTTCATTTGAATTTTCCTCAGCAGCTCCTTATCCATCCAAGGAGGTCTCCTGGCCCTCCTGCTGCACTTCCTTCTAGTTGGGATGCAACACTCCTGAGCTTGTAGCAGGTGATCCTTGAATATCAACCAAGAGTCCTTGGCCCCCCTGCCCTCTAGGGCTGTATCCCATGGAACCTTACTAAGCAGGTTCTTGAAGAGGCCAAAGTCTGCTCTTTTGAAGTCCAGGGCAGTGAGCTTGCTGCACGCTCTTCTCACTGTCCTGAGGATCTCAAATTCGACCATCTCGTGATTGCTGCATCCAAGGCTGCCCTGGAGAGTCACATTTCCAACAAGCCCTTCCCTGTTGGTGAGCACGAGGTCAGGCATGGCACCTCTCCTTGTTGGCTCCTTCTGGTACTGTGTATTCTTTCAAAAAGATGTTCTGTGTCATAGCACTTTCTCTCTAACCATGAAATCCACCTTTCTCATTAACGTAAGGAAATCAAGTGTAGCTGTCTTTTCCCTACCAGAGACCTCCTGAAGTGGGGGTATATATTTGAGGGTGTAAGCTTATATTGTGCTGCTGTCACTAAGTTTTCTTTGGGTTTGTTTTTTTTTTTTTTTGATGATGGCCTTCCTGAAGTTTTAAAGTCCCTCCAGTCTTGACTGGTTAGAGAGAAACATGGCAAGACAGAGCAAGTTGAAGTGCTGGTGACCAAGTGATGGCATTCCTTTCTTGTGGAAAGCAAATCTTGGTCTTGCCGTACTGCAGTGCTGATGATGGGGACAATGGGTCATACTGAAGATGAGTTTAATGAGCAGATCAGTGAAAAGCATCCATAAAGAGAGAAATCTAAGTAATTGTACTTGCTTTGGGGAAAGCACTGACACTTCAAACACCATTCCACAAAGATCTGTATCCCAGCCTCACAGAAAAAATCAAACCCGCATGTATCTCAGACAGGGCACAGCTGGAAGATTATTTGAAGTGTGTTAAGAGCCAGACATGAGGTCAGTTTCTTTTGGATGGGATCTGAATGAGTTTCAGTAGCAAACTCAATGCAGCCGTATGCAGAGGTGGACTTGTCTTGGTTTTACAGATCCTTAAATCCTCTTTAACCAAGAAAAGCTGAGAAAAAAATCGTGGCATCTCTTCCTTGTATTCATTTGATAGTATGCAGCAATTATTGCCTTACTCCACTTTGTCCCTTACCATAAAATACCTCTTCTGTCTCTGGTTAGGTGGATTTTTTAACAGCAGAAACGTGGATATACAGCTGTTTGACTACCCAGCCTGAAAGACCAAAGTGCTGACCCAGTGTCCTTCCTCACTTCTTGCTGAGCCCCTGGCCCTGGAACATGGTTTGGGTTGAGAGTCTGGCTTAAGGGCGTTAAAAACAGGGTGGGGGGAAAGCTAGTGATTACAACAAACACTTTAGAAATGGGAGATGAAAAGTCACAAAATGCTATGTAAAGAATGCATTTTATGGAATGCAGTTTGCCTGCTTTTATAAATTGTAATGGAAGTTTATTGCATAATGCATCACATTTTAAAGAATTTTCAGAAAAATGAACTGAGATCTTTCTGTCTCAGGTACTCCAGGAGTCAAGAAGGCAGGTGGTTTTGTAGTTATCAGTGTTTCTAGCTGGAGTTAACAGTTGCTCACTGTCAGGTTTCTGGTGTCTCAGAGAATGGAGAGCTGGAGCGGTGAGGACTGCTGTCACTTTGAATGAGCAGTGCTAGTACAAAGTGTGCAAAAAGTGTTTTTCCAGCTGAGAGCTGTCTTGCAGTGTTCCACCTTTGCCATCCCTCAAATTCCCTTTCTGCAGGTGGCAGTTAGCTGTATGATGCAGCAGATTGTTAGTATACTCACATTAGAGTAGCTCCTTCAGGCACAGTGCCGCTCTGCTGTCACAGCTGTTTGTAGGAGGAAAGAGACTGTCACTCTCCCAGTACTTTGCAGTCTTAACTGGCAAAAGGGCCCCGGAAACGGAGCAGCTCAGTCTCCAGTTTCTTAAGGCCGTTCAGAACTTCCAGTGTTACTTGAAAAAAGTGACTGAGTTCAAATACACTTTTTAAGAAACTATCTTTTGCTTTAACAACAACAATAATAATAAAGTCACTAAGGGGAGGGAAGGCAGGAGGAGCAGTGCAAACAAATGCAAGAGTTCAAGTAAACCAGTTGCTTTCAGGTTTCTGTAGCTGATCATCAACAGTAGAGGTAATTTTTCTTCTCTTTTTTTAATCTCTTGCAGGAAGTCCAAGGGAAAGCCAAACGGTAAAAAGCCAGCACCAGAAGAGAAGAAACTTTACCTAGAGCCAGAATACACAAAATCCAGAATTACTGACTTCGAATTTAAGGAGCTAGTGATGTTACCACGAGAAATAGACCTCAACGAGTGGCTAGCCAGCAACAGTGAGTATTGTGATTGTACATCTCTGATCTTACTGTCCACACCCAAGCAGGCAGTCATTCACTCTGCTCCTTTTTACTGCTTTTGGTGCTTGGAAAAACACTCAATGACTATGCTTACTGCATAATGCCTGTCATTATACCTTGAATAGTAATTAAGCTGTCTTATGTACAAACCAACTGTGCTCAGCAGCAAGGAAGCCCTGATGCGTTTTCTCCTTCCAGCTGCCTCACTGTGACGCTGAGGGCGTAGAGTTTTTGATCATTTTTTTGGGGACTGTCAGATTCCCTTTGACTATTTGCTAAACTGGCTGGTTCCGCATGTTTCTGACTCAAGCTATTGGTCTTCCAGAAACACTGTAAAAATGCTAGTTTATTAAGACTCGCATGCAAAGCAAGTTATGCCTAAAGCCAGAAGTTTTGAAGTCTTTTGGTTGTATTTGTTTTCCCTACACCTCCCAAGCTTTGGTAGAATTTGCATGAATTCGAACTGTCGTCAAGCTGGAACTCAGACTGTGACTGAATGCTGTATTTGTGCATCCCTGTTCTGATTTGCAATACTTGCCTGTGCTTCTGCTTCACCTGCCAGGCCTAACCTGCAGCTGTGACATACTCTTGTCTTCATTTTCAACAGTATGTGGTAGTAGCAAGAAACTACCTTTAACTGAACACTAGGAAAGTTCATAGAAACTCATTAAAAAAGAAGTGAGGTGTCCCCTGAAGAGTATTAAGATGTTAAATCATCTCGGATTTTTAAACAGTTGAAATGTACTAGTTTTCCTGCTGATTTTTTATAAAGAGATATGTCATGAGAACGATGAATGCTCTTTTCTGGTCACTGCACATTTAAAATCTGACTTCAAAAGGATATAGGAAATTGTTTGCTTTCAGCTTGTAGTAGTGTGCTACTGTAAAGGTGAGGCTGATGATGAAGACACTTTCCAGTCTTGCTGCTTAATGAGTAATAAGAGCTGATGCATCATGGTGCTTTAATTTTAAATGAAAACAAGAGCTTTCTTTCTGTGCAGCTCTTTGTTTTGCTGTTCATCGTTAGACTTATTTAGCCAAATCATGTTTAAATTTATATGCAAGCTCAAAACTCTAAGGTCACTTCACTTTGCTTTATTTGAATAATTGTCCAGCGTTTGAAAGTATTTTAGTTCTGAATTTCTTTCCTTTGTGTTTTATTTTTCAGCAACAACTTTTTTTCATCACATCAACTTACAGTATAGTACAATCTCAGAATTCTGTACAGGAGAGTCGTGTCAGACCATGGCCGTGTGCAATACGTAAGTCAATGCTTAAAGTTGCAAGGCTTCCATGAAATCGTCAGAGTCACATGGGGGAGGATGTTGGTGCTGGATGGCACTGGGCAAGTGTTCTAAAGCAGATCTGTACTTAGTTGAGAACATGGCAGCTGTACATCCTCTTCTCTCGCCTCAGTAGTGAAGGGTGGTGGAAGTCTGTTTCTGTGGGGGACCAGAGGAATGAGAACCTTGGAGTTCTGAGAACCTGTTCTGAGCTGGTTTTATAAGGTCAGATCAGAGAGGCAAATTACCCTGTGCTTAGCTTTTGGGGAGAGGAGAAGAGCAGGGCAAAACTGTCCTTACTGGTAACAGTGTGGGATTTCATAGAAGGCCAGGGAGGATAAACAAATTGCGAAAACCTCAGAGGGTGCTTTTGATAGCTGGAATGCTGACAGAGCACCAGGCTGCTGACAGATAACCTCTAGCCTGATGTGAGCTGCTGGCTTTCTGCCTGAGCCCCTGGGCACAGAGGACGATGCAAGTGGCAGCTTTGCAAAGAGTAAGGAAAACGTTTTGGTTTGGCACTTCCCTCCTGTAGGACTTAGGAGACTTTTTTAACATTGACTAACTATCACTTATGAAAGGAAGTTTTGTAGTTTTAATGTACATGGTGAATATAAGAAAAAGCTACCATAACCCCCTGCTCTTGATTAGCACAGTCCAACATGATGGAATATGAGATCTAGTCGAGTATGAATAAGCTTGTTGTGTTGTGTTGGGGTTTTTTCTCCAGCACATGTGCTGATAGTCCTTTTCTTCCCTCCTCCTGCATTTTTTTAGGATTAATTTATTTGAGATGGATTTTAAAGCAGAAGACTGAGCAGTTAATCTTACAGTACATCAAACATCCCAGGGAACGTATGCAACAGAACCAGAGCTCTGTATTGTATCTCTGACAATAATTACATAGTGCTTAGAAAGGAATCCTTGCTTAATATACTGGGCTATCTTGCACACTTGAAATTACTATTAGGGGCTTTCTTTGACAGCACTGAATAATCTTTAGTGTACAGAGGATATTTTTGCATGTAGTAGTTGGAAAGATAACTGCCAGTAGACAATTAAAGGCCATGCTAGGGACTTTGAAAGCAGGCTGGAACACAAAGTAATAAATCTCTGCTGGACCAGATTTTATCAAAAGGAGACAGCATGTCTTTAAATGAGAAATGGTCATCAGTAAGATGAGTACTTCATTGACTCTTGCTCCCAAGTTTTCTCATGTTTAAATTCCTGATGTAGCACTGGCTGTCCAAAGGACTGAGTTTAACTATCCACTTGGCTGATAGGAAATAGTGGCTAAAAGGAAGTGGTGGTAGGGAACCTGCATAGGTGTCACTGTTGTGCTCTAGGGAGTCTTAAAGAATTTTGAGTTCTTTGTAGGCAGTTCAGGCTGCACAATGAAGAAAGGAAGTGCCTGTAGGCAGCTCCCACTGTACTCTGTATTTTTAGTGGTTAAGACCGATAGCACAGTGTTCCTATCCTTTGTTTTGGAAAACTGAAAAACTGTGCTATTTGGGAATAACTGGAAGCATGTCTACACTTGGGTGAAGCACTTGAAATGGTTTGTGTTTAGCTAAATCATAACTTAAGTAAAGTATCTTCCTGTACTTGGGAGTAGATGACTGATTCATGTTTGCAGACTGCTGGCTGCCTATTTCATTCTTATATCAAGTGTGTGGGTCTGTGAAAAAAACATGTTGGTGGGATCATCTGGCTACAGCTGCATACCTCACTGCAGTTCAGCTTTGAAGGCCCTGTTCATAATTGTGTTCTCCAAATGGCAATTCTGGATAATCCTTATGTTCCTTCCACCTTTCCTAGCTCTTCCCTTTTGGAAGAGATATGTCCAAATGGAGCATTGAGAACTGTCTCAAAGATGCTCATTTGTTCATATCCAGTTATGACTATGACAAAGCCGTATGTTGCTTCCCTGCCCCCTTCCTTTTTCTTTTACTCCTTTCTTTTTTTCTCCACCACCCCCACCCCCCTTTTTTTTAATCTTGTCCTAATGAAGTAAGGACATGCTCACTGTGTTGGAGAAACATCCATTGATACGATTTATTGTGCCCCTGACCTGTCTCTAGTATATATATAGAGTGTACCTCCTAAACATCAGAGTCAGTTGCTGATTAACCTGATGGACACTCCAGATTTGACCTGTGGTGGCTGTGATTTGTACAGCATCTACCTACTTCAGACTGCCACAGAATTCTAGTATCTTGGAATAAGGGTGCACTTCAGCATTTTTTTTTTCAGTGCTGATTTCTCTAGGTAGCTCTGTATGAAAGTCTGCATTCTGTTCCTTTTTTATGTTTCCCTGCCCAGTTCTCTTAAGGTGTGTTTTGGATCACACCATTCTGGTTGTACCTAAGGAAGGCTTTTTATATTTATGGTTGAGATACTGAAGTGACTGTTGAGAACAGGTTACTTGTCAAGTTATTTTGTATTCAAAGGCACTGCAAATACTCAATCCTAAGTTTACAGTATTTGCTGACAAATACCAGTTGCAGTTAAATATTTGAGGTAAGGTTTTAACATCTCAGAGCTAAGTTCCAGCCAACTGACAAACTGAAGACAGATGCAGCTTTTAGCCCTCTGTCAGCTATATGAGATAGCACAGCCATCTGCACACAATGAGGAGGAGAATTTCTGCTTTGACCACTAAGAGACATCTGACCAAAATCTAGTCGCCTTGTAGATGGGAGCATTTGCCGGCAAGGTGGGATAATGCCAAAAGAAATTCCAGAATGGCCACTTATTTTCAAAGTTTAATGAGGGTAGCATGAATATAACTTTGGGAATTACTTTATTTCACTCATTAATATGCTGATGACTTGCTGTAAAACAGGCACTGTGTTTTAACACAGTATTTACTATTTAAATTTAGTATGCTTTGTAGCTTATTATTACGCAAACTAAAGCACCTTGAGCTGTTAAGTGATTTTGTAGCTGACATCTGGGCAAAACTTCTCAATGTGCTGAAATGAGTGGAGTAGTTAAGAGCCTCTGTAATCTTACCATTTCCTTTCTCCTATCTACCTTGCCCTTAGTGTCTCTGCATATGGAGGATATTTCCTTCCAGAAATCTTAGCTCAAACTTGCATGTTTTGTGTTTTCTTATATTTAAGTTCCCTCAGCTGTGTGCTTCTTTCTCTCTTCCTTCACCCCATCTAAATGTTGCTTTGCTCCATCAAACCACCAAAGGTATTCTGAGTTGCTGCTGAGTATTACTGCCCTTGCATTTGGAAGTTTGCTGTCCTGCTTTCTTCACAACCCATCTTTCACTATTTCTGGAAGGCCTGTCTCTTCCTTCTTTCCACACAGCATCTGCTAGAAATTTTTCTTATATACTGATGTAACATTTGTTCTGCCCTGGCTTCTGTGTCAACACAAACCCAGAGTGTTTTACAGGCAAAGTGATAAAATACATACATATATTAAGATGCAGTATTGTGACATCACGTGTACTATATTATTTGCATGATAGGCTTTTCTCCGTTAAACTCATAGTCCTTTCTCCCTGTGATTTAGAGTGGAGCTGCAAATTCCTCATGCTGTCCATACTGGCAAAGTTTAAATCTGACAGAATTATCACATAGGAAATAATCAAAATCTGCATCACCTGAGCACTTTCTGAAGAGTGCCTTTGTGTCATCTTGTCCTTTCTGCTTCCCATCCATTGCCTAATTCAGGACTGTACTGTCACGGTGCCAGTGGTGGAATGCAGTTAGGCTGCTGTACCCAACAGAGCCCTTCAATGGCCCCAACCTGCTTCCTGTCTAGTTAAAGGAGATAACTCCCAGCACATGGGTGGGAGCTGAGCACCAGGCGTGAGATGTTCATGGCATGTCAGTGGTTCCTCTCTTCCTCCAAGACCTGTGAGGACTATGTTCACAGAACTTGAAACATAAGGAAGACACATGACTAATATACAGGACAATCCTTGCAGTTATCCCCTTACTTTAAATGATTCTACTTTTAAATTCCTATTTTGCTTAATTAGCCTAATTTTCAAGGAAAGACAGGGTATGCAGTGGGATGTTACAGCAAATTTACTCACGTTTTCATGTAAGCGAACTTGTACAGTTGCCAAACTGTTTCTTTTATCCAAAATCCAATTATCCAGATTCATTTTTGTGCCTAAGGGCAACTTTAAACTATGCTTTCTATCTTGCAGTTGAGGATTTCTGCAGCATGAGAAAACTGCTGTGGTACAGACAGTCCAGTCTGCCTCTGCTCTTGGCATTGTCTAAGACCCAAAATAAGTCTGAGCTGCCTAGAACTGTCTTACTCCAGCTTACTGCAGGACTAGACAAATAAGGTGGCTTGGGCTAGAGCACTGCATTGTGTAATTCCTTATATGTGGATTGTATAAAGGAGGTAAGCAGTGATGAAGAACACAGCCTATGCCTAAGGGTCAAAATCCTAGTTTTGATGCCTGATGTAGCTCCACAAAGAGCTTTTAACTCCTGCTGGATTTGTCTACTTGCTCACCTTTTTATGCAGTCAGCCGTGCTCTCTAGTAAACAACAGTGACCAAGCACCACATGCTGAAAATGAGCTGAAAGACAAATTCTAAACCTTACATGTCTGCAGAACTGGTTTTCAGTTGCCTTTCCTCTCTTAGGGCTTGAACCACTCTATTTCTGCTGCTTCCTATTGGCTTTCCTATGGCTTGGGGCATGAACAGCATTGTTGTCTTCACCCCACTGCCCTCAGGTCCCTGAAGAGCCTTTCAGGGATTGAAAACACAATGTAAACTTTACAGTCACCATGTAACACTTTTTTTTAGTGGCTTCAAGACACTTCTGGTGGCCAGTATACCTAAAACTTCACTTTCCAAGTGACATATGTACATCTATCCAGTTCAGTGCAGTCTAGTCCTGCTAGGCACAGGAAAAACAATCTGCAGTCTTTTACCTTCCACCCCACCACCCCCTGCCACGCCCCCCAAAACCAAAAGTATGCAAAGGTTGCTAAATGTTACACTTAAGTGATATTTTGTGTACAGTGAGGCTTGATTTGGTGAGCAATTTCAGGGAACAGATCATTAGCTGAAGAGCAGCAGAGTTGGAGTTGGCCAGGCAGAAAATGGATTTATGGGCTCATGTGTTGAGTGAGGTGTCTTTCTAGCCAGTTCTGATGCTCAAACCACTTTCAGCCTTGTTTCCAAAGACAGAAAAACCCCACCTATGCTTCATTCTAGGAAAACCAATACGATGGATTTCTTGCCAGTGCCGTAATTCTATAGGACTTTGCCTGGAGCTTAGGCTGTTTGAAGGAAGAATTCAGGAACTGGAACTCAAGACACTTCAAATGTGACACAGGGAAAAAAAAAAAAAAAAAGTTTTGCCAAATTCCTTACCTGTGGAACATTTCTCACTGTGTGCCTAATGCAGTGATAGGTGCTCCTGCTAATAGTCAGGGGTGCTTTCATTAACCATGGTTTAAAGAGAAAAAAGGAACAAGCCTTCAGTACTTTTGTAGCCTTCAGGTTCTCCATTGGGTGAGGAATCACCACAGTTAATCAAGATGATTATGGCTGATTAAATTATGGTTGCATTTGAAGAGCAAGGCAATATGCTAATGTCTCCTGTTCCTTAAGATCCAACAGGGTTATTTACCGGTGACAGAGTCCAACATAAATTCAGGTGTTTTGGAGAGTCTTTAACCAGAGGAACAAGAGTTCTAAGACATGATGGTAGGAACGTTTAAAGGGTCCTGAAAACCCTCCCCAGACTGGATTTTGGAATGGGATTTGTAGTGCTTTAAAGTGCTGCCAGTACTTCAGAGCACCAGCTTGAAAACGCTGGTGTTTTGGAGCCACCTTCTGTCTGTTTAATACTACTACAAGACCAATTTATCTTTTGCACTGTTAAGCATCAAAAGATCAGCGGTTGTGCAATGTTGCTACCCTTTAAAACGAGTTAGATAATGCTTTCGTGTATAGTACTACATAGACAGTACGTAAACCCTCAGCCTGTCACTGACGGGGTGTTACCTCTGCCTCACAAGAGCTCTTCTTCTTGGAGAACAGTCAGCAGGCATTCTGCACTTAGCAATGCTACCTGCACTCTGGACTAAATTGATCAGGAGATACAAGATTAGCTAACAGAAATTGAAGAGGTTTAATGTACAAAGATACCATGAAGTGAATCTCTTCTGTAGCAGTTATGATGCATTTTGGTAATGTTGCACCTGTTGTTTTATATTCAACACTAATCTCTTAAAGGAGTTTTGCTGAGGAGCCGAGGTATGATGTGGTGACACTGTCAATTCTCTCCACAGACAGTACTACTGGTATGATGAGCGGGGAAAGAAGATCAAGTGCACTGCTCCTCAGTATGTTGACTTTGTCATGAGCTCAGTGCAGAAACTAGTGACAGATGAGGATGTCTTTCCAACAAAATACGGTATGTCTGCTTTTGAACAGGTGCTTCCAGTGGCTCTTTGCAGATGCCCTAAGTAAGGTGGAATTTGCATTCGGTATATGTGTTAATACCACACAGCCTTCTCACTTGTTTGATTGATATTTTGTGGATTGCTTTTTCCTCAAGGATTTTGGGATCTTCTAGCCTGTATTCAGAAAGGATAAAAGTCTGAAAACTGTCAGCATGAATGTGTTCAATACAGCCTGCTTCTAGTAAAATTTAATCTTGTTGATTTACTATTTCCTTTATAGCCCCAACGCATTAAGGGGGAAATTGGATTGCCAGGAATGTGTCTTGTCTTCCTTGCCCAGTCAGGCTTGTCTCACAGATGTTTGCAGGCTCCCTCCCTCCCAAAGATTTAATGTGATTTTTAAGAACAGAAAAGCAATAAGAAAGTAATTTTAACTCTCACTTGTATCCTAACAAGATTGCTATGTGCACGGCCTTTGGTAGGGGGAGGAGGGTTCGAAAATTTTGACCTTAAGTTACTGTAGGTGGGCTTAATCAGGACTAAAACCAGCACTTCAGTTGGGGAACTGGGATGTTACAATATAGCAAACATTAAGCCTTTGCTTACAAGTACCTTGATCTGGAGAGAGGCAGTGTCTAATGAGACAGTGCCTAGTAGGACAGCTGCAGTTGACTTTTTTTCTTTTCAGTATGCTTGTTCAAGGGCAGTGAGGGCGTTTCAAGAGATTTCTCCGTGTGACCAAGGTGCACTTCAGACCAGTAACATAATTCATATTGTGCATCACACATGGGACCACAGGCATTGTTATTTGCTTGCCTCAGTTTCACTTTTAGTGTTACCAAAGTAGTTGTCCAATAATTGGCTTTTACTATGCAGGCACAGGACTGCTCCAGCAGTGCAGTGTCAGCTGTGCCTCATAGGGGGCACCCAGTATTTCCTTCCATTTCTTTTCCCATTTGATAGAATGTCAACAGTGAAATGAGGGAAGTCATTATAAACAGTCAAGCTGCTACACACTACCAAGCCCTGTACCTTAGCTTCCATTTCAGGATTTGTGCATTGGTCTCCTGAGCATTGTGGACTTACAGGGGAAAAATCTGCTTGACAATCTAGATAAGGACCTCCTTATCTAGGTCCTTATCTAGAAAAAAGAATTACTCCTGGACAAACTAGATAAGGACTCAGAAAAAATTCTCATTTTTGTTACAGTCAGTAACAAAAGATTTTGGGGTTCTAAAGAATGATCACACTTACTTTCTGATTTTTGAACCCTTAGGGTTTGAAACTTCAAATGAAAATGTTTAAAGAATCTACTTAGATTCTTCCCCTGAATTCCTGTGAAAAAGTGAGGATGATACAGGGTGCACAAGTTGTCTGCTGTATAAGGTGGGCTAGTTGCTCTTACCCACAGCTCAGCCCAAACAAATGCTGCTGTAGGTCTGAAGGGGAGCAGCTGACACTATATATCATGGTGTTTTCTCTGTCTTTGTTTCAGGCAAGGAATTCCCAAACTCATTTGAATCCCTAGTGAAGAAGATCTGCAAGTATCTGTTCCATGTGCTGGCCCATATCTACTCCTCACACTTTAAGGAGACTTTGGCACTGGAGCTGCACGGACATTTAAACACACTCTACACACACTTTATCCTATTCATCAGGGAGTTCAACCTCGTGGACCCTAAAGAGACCACCATCATGGATGACCTCACAGAGGTCCTCTGCAGCAGCAGCGGGAGCAGCAGTAACGGGAGTGGCAACGGGAGTAGCAACAGCGCAGGAGCACAGAACCATGTGAAAGAGAGATGAGCCTTCCTCCAGGATCAAAACTAACATTAAAAACAATATTATATGTTCTGTGTGTATGTGTATGTATATGTTCAGATATACATACAGACATATACAGCAATGAAAGCTGAAAGAAATTCTGCTGCCACCACAGGATGTGTAGTCACGGGACTGTACGGAGCTTTGGTGTAATGCGCCACTTGGCAAGAAGTTGCACCGATTTTATTTTATTTTCTGTCCACTCCTCCTTTTACCTGTTCAGATGGATGACGAGTGCTGTTTTTAGAGAAAAGCCAAGCTTGAGTGGGGCCACTCCTGGTTATTTTGGTTGTTGGTTTGGTTTGGGGGTGGTTGTTTTGGTTTTTGTTTGTTTTTGGTTTTTTTTTTGTTGGTTGTTTTTTTGCTTTTTTTTTCTCTGGTCTTGAGTACAAGCCCTTTGTCTTTCTAGGATGGTGGTCCTGCCATTTAAAAATATCTATTACAGTATAAGAAGTGACTTTTACTTTGAAGTGGCTTAAAATGCAGGTTGGTTTGGATTTTGAGGGGGAGGGGTGGGGGTGGTTTTTTGGTTTGGTTTTACATAGACTGCCCCTTACCCTTCCAGGAACTCCCCAGTTGTGTGCATCTTGCCCTTTGTTAGCTTGGAATGGGAAGAAACCCCTGGCTTGACTAGAGCAGCAGCTAGGGGCTTGCTACATGTTGAAAGGGCATAATTCTCCAGTTGTCCCATATACCTGGTCACAACATGTGAACATGCAAGAGGATTCACAAGCCTTTCTGCTTATTGCTCCTACAACATATATACTCTTTTCTCTGCTCTCCCACCTCCTCTTTTCCCAGGCACATCTCTACAAATAGTAAGATCACTGGAATCCCAAAACCCATGTGCAAGAGCCACCACCATTTGCTTCCCACTGAACAGAGGCCCAGGGAAGGGGGAAAAAGGTACATTGAGTCAGTCACTGCCTGTGCTAGAAAGATGGCTGTTGGCATAAAATTATATTGTTGGCTTATTTTAGTTCATCTGTTCTATAATAATAAAAACAAATCTATCAGCCACAAGCTTGGTTTTACATTTGCAGCGTCAAAAGTCCATGGAATCCACCCATACACCTTCCCTTGCACCACTGAACACTGGTGGCCCTGCTATCAGCTAGCTTTATAACTAATAATTAATGTTCCACCTTGTGATTCTACATTTTTAATCAATTCCTTGCTCTTCCTGGTAGTGCTGAGAACCTCCTCCTCCTATATCTGAAGATAAGCACTCCAAAGCAAAGCACCACTTGGGAAAGGAGCAACTGTCCTGCATGTACATCCTTAAATTTTGCAGATGCAGTGGGCTCCTGGATATTTTGCAGCAACTAGTGTATTACAGTTATCTGTGGATATAGTATTGTATCAGCGTTGTATGAGGACAGTGATATTACTCTCTCCTTCACCTTTCCACTTAGGAAAATGTCAGATTTTGTTTACAGCTGTGCTTCTATCAAACCTGTGGCAGCCTCTGAGAATTGTCAGTATCCTGAGGTACATACATCATTAATGGCTGACCTGGCATGAGTCCTAGAAGGTTTTCCTGAATGAGGTCTGCAACTCCCAAAAGTCAGTAGAGAAAAAGAAAGGAGAACAAGTGCAAACAAAAAAAAAAAGAGAAGGAAAAGCACAAGCAAGAAGCAAAAGCTTGTGAAGCATGTGAAAACAACAGATAAAGGAAGAAAAATGTGCAAGTGAGAAAAAGAGCAAGAAGTCATAAAGGTGAGAAAAAAAGAGCAGAAACGCATGAGCACAGAAGAAGGGAAGTGGAAAAGTGAGCGAGAGAAAACAAACTAAAACTTCATGAGCCCAGGCTTGTCCTGTCTTGTTTGTTTCAAGGTTGCAGGTACTTTGTAAACCTGCAGGCAGATGTGCTGGAGTCTCACTATCCTGCTCATCTGGGGGCTGTTACACAGTCTGTTTAAAAGCACTCCTTCCCATCATGTCCTCCTGCTATGGCATCTATATCCAGATTAATATTCCCATTCAGTCTCCATTCATGCTTGTATGAGCCTTTCCATTACAGTTCCTTATGCTAATGTCTGAAGGGAAAACCAGAGGTCAGCAGAAGCTATCAGACAAACAGCAGCTGTAGGAAAGACCCCTGAGCTACTTGCAATGAGAGCATATGGTAGCGTTCATGGTAATAAAGCAAGAACAACTACCCACACACAAGTATTTCAGGTAATTTATTACCTACTTGTAACAAAAAAAAAAAAAAACAAAACCAACAAAACATTTGCAGTCTTAATTCTAAAATAACATCCAGAAATGAGACACTGTTTGGAAAGCTTTGACTTCAACGGGGTCAGCTCAACTCGAAAGAGTGACTTACTGTCGTGGTTTAAAACCAGTCAGGTAACTCGTTCACTCACTTCCCCCCCCCCCCCCCTTCTTGCCCTCCCCCTGCTCCTGGAGAGACGGAGAGGAGAATCGAAAAGAATGCAACTCCCACAGGTTGAGATAAGAACAGTTTAGTCATTAAGGTATAACACAGATCACTACTGCTACCACCAATAATAACAATGGTAAAGGAAACAACAAGGGAAGAGAATACAACACGTCAGCACCAGCCAACTGATAACTCGCCCCCAGCCCAACCAAGCACCGACCAATACCTTGTCCAACCCCACAGTCCCAGCCCTTCCAGGTAGCTCTCCATTACATCGTGGGCATGACGTGCTGTGGTATGGAATACCTCTTTGGTCAGTTTGGGTCAAGTGTCCTGTCTCTGCTTCCTCCTGGCCTCCCCTCCTCCCTGGCAGAACATGAGGCTCAGAAAGTCCTTGGCCAGACTGAAACATTTGAGCAGTAACTAAAAACATCAGTGCTATCAGCACTGTTCCCAGGCCGAAAGTCAAAAACACAGCACTGCACCAGCTACTAAGAAGAAAAAATGACTGCTACTGCTGAACCCAGGACACTTACTTAACTGTAACTCTTTAAATTTCAGATAATAACAAATGCAAGGTTACCTATACCTTAGCTTCCCCTAGTAGAACTGCTAGAACCTCCTAAGTAGTCTGGGAACATACAGGTTGGTGCAAAGCAGCAAACCGTTAGTTCAGCTACCAGGAGAACAGTGAAGAACCTGAACGTGCACAAGTCTATGGGACCTCATGAAATCCATCTGCGGGTCCTGAAGGAGCTGGCGAAGGACTTTGCTAAGCCACTGTCATATTTGAAAAATCATGGCAGTCAGGTGAAGTTCCCGATGACTGGAAAAAGGGAAATATAACCCCCATTTTCAAGAAGGGGAAAATGATGACATGGAGAACTACAGACCAGTCAGTCTCAACTCTGTGCCTATCAAAATCTTGGAGCATATTCTCCTGGAAGGCATGCTAAGGCACATGAAAAACAACAAGGTGCTTGGTGACAGCCAGCATGGCTTCACTAAGGGGAAATCCTGCCTGACCAATTTGGTGGCCTTCTATGATGGGGCTACAGAACTGATGGACAGGGGTAGAGCAGTTGATGTCATCTACCTGGACTTGTGCAAAGTGTTCGACACTGACTCACACGACATCCTTGTCTCTAAATTGGAGAGACATCAATTTGATGGATGGACCACTCAGTGGATAAAGAACTGGCTGGATGGCTGCACAACCAAAGAGTTGTGGTCAATGGCTCAATGTCCGGCTGGAGACCAGTAACGAGTGGTGTCCCTCAGGGATCGGTGTTGGGACCGGTCTTGTTTAACATCTTTGTCGGTGACATGGATGCTGGGATTGAGTGCACCCTCAGCAAGTTTGCCGATGACACCAAGCTGTGTGGATCATTTGATACGCTGGAGGGAAGGAATGCTATCCAGAGGGACCCTGACATGCTGATGCCAACCTTATGAAGTTTAACCATGCCAAGTGCAAGGTCCTACAGCTGGGTTGGCGCAATCCCAGGCACAGCTACAGGTTGGGCAGAGAAGAGAAGGCCTTGGCGGTGTTGGTCCACGAGAAACTGAACATGAGCCATCAGTGTGTGCTTGCAGGCCAGAAAGCCAACTGTATCCTGGGCTGCATCAAAAGGAGCATGACCAGCAGGTCGAAGGAGGTGATCCTGCCCCTTTACTCTGCTCTTGTGAGACCTCACTTGGAGTACTGTGTGCAGTTCTGGTGTCCTCAACATAAAAAGGACATGGAACTGTTGGAACAAGTCCAGAGGAGGGCCACGAGGATGATCAGGGGACTGGAGCACCTCCCATGTGAAGACAGGCTGAGAAAGTTCGGGCTGTTCAGCCTGGAGAAGAGAAGGCTGCGTGGAGACATCATAGCAGCCTTCCAGTATCTGAAGGGGGCCTGTAAGGATGCTGGGGAGGGACTCTTCATTAGGGACTGTAGTGATAGAACAAGGGGTAACGGGTTAAAAGGGGAAGTTTAGGTTGAATATAAGGAGGAAGTTCCTTACTGTAAGGGTGGTGAGGCACTGGAATGGGTTGCCCAGGGAAGTTGTGAATGCTCCATCCCTGGTGGTGTTCGAGTCCAGGTTGGACAGAGCCTTGGGTGAGATGGTTTAGTGTGAGTTGTCCCTGCCCACAGCAGGGGGGTTGGAACTAGATGATCTTAAGGTCCTTTCCAACCCTAGCTATTCTATAATTCTATTCTACGATTCTATGAAATAAGTACCATATCACCTTTAGAAGAGCCTGCTGTTGTTTGTGGCAGCCAGCCCGAGTTTACTCTGCGGCCAGTTGATATTCCTGAAAGCACAGATGCTCCTCTAAGCAGGGTAATCTTTTTTATATTTTACAAGCAGTTAACACCACACTAATAAGCCTAATTTAGTGTAGCCTATGTTGTTGGGGTTAGCAGTGGAATGAAGAAAACACTGAAATTGTGCCAACATTAATGTTCTTGTCAGGAGTAAATGTTACTATAAAGCTCAGCCTCAAGGCATACAAGTATATTTCAGAGTTTTGCTATAGTATTTCAACTATATTGCTATATTTCAGATTTGTGCTGTAGTAACGTAAGTCAAAGAAGTGCCACTAAGTCTTCAAACTGGTTGGTGGCTGCCACTGAAGGTTGTCACTGGCTTTCTACATGTGCAACATGTCACTGACTATCCACACTGTAAAGCACTGAGCCTGCATTGCCCCTGTGTTTAGGACAGGCTTAGGTCTAACACTGAGGAAATTGTCATGTTGTTGCCTTAAACAATTTACAAAAAGACATTTAAAATGCTGCCAGAACAACAGAGGCATCTTAACAGGGTTACATTCCCACACACCCCTCCCCTTCCCTAACGATTATGACATACCCATACCATTGTTTAAGAATTGCTAAATAAATCTAAATACACCAGAAAAATAACCAAATGCTGATAGAACTGGCATCTGAACTATCTACACATCCCACTCCCTCCCAGCATACATGCCTTTTGCAGGCCTTGCCTTGTCAAACTCCCAGACTTACATCTGCCATTGCAGAATCCCTAACCAACTTTCAGGCAATGAGCACAAGCCACCACAGGGCTAAAGTCTTTCCCTTAAAACAAATCAATCACAGCCATAAATATGCTTTGTAGAATTATGCTCCTGACATTTGGTGCTACTTCAGCACAGCAAAACCACAGCTATGCTCTTCATTTTTGCCTGAGAGTTGCAGGAAGTTATCGAGTCTGAGAGCCCATAGATCTCAGCCATTTTACATATGAATAGCAACCTTTTAACAAAGAATTTTAACAAAATAATCCTTGCTTCTTACAGAACACTTTTGTGACGAGATCTGAGGAGGGAGAAAGATTCATTCTGGCTCAACAGTTGTGGCCAAACATGGGCATACCAAGGTGCTCTAAAGGTGGATGTTGTCAGGTAACAATTAGCTCCTGACCATTAACAGAAGACTAAAAGACTTTCACAGAAGCAAGCAATCCCATAAAAGAACAAGCCAACTTTGTGAGTGCCTACTAAATATACAGATCTCACATAAAGCCACACTTTATCAAACAAGCCCTTACTCACATCTGTCATGTAACTTGTCCCGCCAATCCTTAGCTCACCATTTCAGCTGTTAACTGAAAGACTCAAA